ACAAGCATTGTTCACGCCCAAATGATCTGCCAAAGGTGTTTCATCAACCACGAATTACGTCATAGTCCACCAAATTGGTGTTGAGGCAGCAGATTTGAATCCCTATGAATTGGTTCCTGAATCTTAGAGGCAAATCTTGATGTCTCATCTTTAATTGGCATTTAGAAGCTGGTATGACGAAGAGGAACAAGTGTATGTATTGACGACTTCATAGAATGTTTAGATCTGCTTTGGAAAGGGATGCTGAAACTTTTGTTGAGTTCGCTTGGGAGACCAAATCTTTGAGGACTACTAATCCACTTAAAAAGAATTAAGGTAAACAACGAGGAGAGTTCTATGGATATACAACTTCTTAAATATAATATGAGCGACGTTTCGGTGTAGGAACTAACACCGTTATCAAGCAAATGATGTACAATACTACAGGCAAGGTACATAGTAAAGTTGAACAGAAAGTGATTGATGTTTGCACAATTAATGAGGTCGATGTACAAGGTGTTTACACAAGAAGGCAATTGTTACACAAACAGAGTAAGCTATGGGGGATTATTGGGAGGAAACCAGGAAGCCAGAGATATGACAGACAGGAGAATAATGGGATTAAGATTGCTTGGTGATGAGATTGTTGTAGGCAGTGGGGATGTAATATCCTTGGTCTCTGTTCATGGCCGGTTGGAGCGTCTTGATGTGAATGGCTTCTAGTAGCTTTCTGATCTTGGCCGGCTGAAAACTTTCAGTTCGTAGTGAGAAAAATGTGATGGAATTAGGCATAAACTTCAAGATATTGGGACCAATACCTATGGAAGTATTTTTTAAATATTTGACAGCCAAATTCAGCCAATATATGTGTACGGGTAAACTGTTTGAATGTTAAAAGATATGATAGCATTGAAACTATTCACCCACTAGCATGTAAACTGTTCTTAAATGTCGGACCACAAGCACCAAATGCAATGGTATATGCAGAACAAGGACGATTTCCAGTTAATGTCAATTCGAACATTCGAACGCTGAAACATTTGCTTAAGTTAACACCTATGCATGATGGACTAATTCCGGGGAAGGTATATACCATGTTGTATTACCTAGATACTGCTGGGTACCACACATGGACGTCTGAGATCCGTCATATACCATGTTGTATTACCTAGATACTGCTGGGTACCTCACATGGGCGTCTGAGATCCGTCATATACCATGTTGTATTACCTAGATACTGCTGGGTACCTCACATGGGCGTCTGAGATCCGTCATATCTGAGATCCTGGGTCATCATGGGCGTCTGAGATCCGTCATATACCATGTTGTATTACCTAGATACTGCTGGGTACCACACATGGGCGTCTGAGATCCGTCATATACCATGTTGTATTACCTAGATACTGCTTGGTACCACACATGGGCGTCTGAGATCCGTCATATACCATGTTGTATTACCTAGATACTGCTGGGTACCACACATGGGCGTCTGAGATCCGTCATATACCATGTTGTATTACCTAGATACTGCTGGGTACCACACATGGGCGTCTGAGATCCGTCATATACCATGTTGTATTACCTAGATACTGCTGGGTACCACACATGGGCGTCTGAGATCCGTCATATACCATGTTGTATTACCTAGATACTGCTGGGTACCACACATGGGCGTCTGAGATCCGTCATATACCATGTTGTATTACCTAGATACTGCTGGGTACCACACATGGGCGTCTGAGATCCGTCATATACCATGTTGTATTACCTAGATACTGCTGGGTACCACACATGGGCGTCTGAGATCCGTCATATACCATGTTGTATTACCTAGATACTGCTGGGTACCACACATGGGCGCCTGAGATCCGTCATATACCATGTTGTATTACCTAGATACTGCTGGGTACCACACATGGGCGTCTGAGATCCGTCATATACCATGTTGTATTACCTAGATACTGCTGGGTACCACACATGGGCGTCTGAGATCCGTCATATACCATGTTGTATTACCTAGATACTGCTGGGTACCACACATGGGCGTCTGAGATCCGTCATATACCATGTTGTATTACCTAGATACTGCTGGGTACCACACATGGGCGCCTGAGATCCGTCATATACCATGTTGTATTACCTAGATACTGCTGGGTACCTCACATGGGCGTCTGAGATCCGTGATATACTTTGCTCACACAGTTGTGAATTTATCTGGCTTTTGTAAGTTGTCGGTGATCCGTGCGTTTTTTTCACATTTTTAAAGAACTCTTAATCAACATGTTTTACCGCAGTTGGATACTACTTTTGCAAAAGGTTCACGTCATAAGTTTTGTACAGAATAGAAGAGTCTCCTTGAGCCAGAGGGGTATCTGTGTTCCCAATCGGAATATACATTCCATGAAACATTGATCTAATTCAGAGCTGGTGTCTGACGTTTAGAGAACAACGCAGGAAGGTGGCAAAATATTGATGTGAAAACCCCCAGAAAATAGGTATTAAAATTCTAAAGATTCCAGTCCAGCATTACATATACATGTTACTAATATATTGTACTTGGGGTGTAAGATACTCTATGCAGGTAGACAGGTAAATGCTATATATGCATTTTGAGAAATTGTTTCAAATTTCCATTCACGCCTTTTTACCTCAAAGGAACACACACACACACACACACACACACACACACACACACACACACACACACACACACACACACACACACACACGCACGCACGCACGCGCGCGCACACACACACACACACACACACACACACACACACACACACAGACAGACAGAGGGTAAGCTATCATGGCAGCATAGTCAGTCCTCCCGTTATTCTCATTTTAAAGTCTGGTTCTGAGTGTCTTTTTTTTTCTTCTGCTTCAGTCAGTTTTAAAATACTTCTGGAGTTTCGTCAAAGCCAACATGTAGATATCATTTCTTAGTAGACTGCTCTGAAAACATTCTTTAATAATTCATTTCCTTATATAACAGAGCTTTTCTGAACTAATAAGAAAACCCCACCCGCACCTTTCAAATCCATTTCAGATTGTGGGGAGCCTTTCAGCAGTGTCATCATTGTATTGGTCCAGTTTGCCCTGGACTATCAAGTCAGTTCAGTCTTAACGAAAATGTCTTAGTGTTCTTGTCACTACCTGTTTAAATTCAACCACTAGGTACCATAGACCATGTGTCATTGATAGAAATGTCTCTGAAACTATGTTGTGCAAACATCAAGCTATTGGAAAAAGACACAGCATTGTCAGGTCAATACGACAAGAACGTGTGATGATAAAATTAACTTTGTGTCAACTAAGTGAGCTGCTTCTGTTTCTGACCTCTGAGATTGTGAGGAGAAATGTGGCTTTGTAAAGTCTGATGGCATTGTGGATAAAGCTGGCCTTAGGAAATCTGTTCTATTTGTATGTTAGTTAACTTGCCAAATGAGCGAAAGACTCATAAGCGTCACATAGTGAGTGGAGTTCATCTTGCATGCTTGTGTCGAAACCTAAAGGTAGTTACACATTCTCCGCAGACATAAAATATGTAAATGTGGTTTTAGAAGGTTTTACACGTGACTCTCTCTACCAAGAATCTTCAATACTATTGTAGCGCCATGATCGGGTATTAGTACCTGAATGTAGGGCTACACAAATACCCACATTATTATCATTATTATGTTTTACAGATTATGATGACAAATGCAGCAGAGAGGGTTCGGGTGATCCGGGCACAGTCAGGCTGGTAAGGCTCATCATCAGCTCAGTGCCCTTGTTCTCTCTACACGCAGCCCAGACAGCGTATTGGACTTTTCCCAGTAAACGCTGCATACTCGAACCCACCAAGAACTTTCGGAGAATATGTAGACTCCCCAACACTGCAGCCTTCTGCAGCACCCAGGGTGTCAGGATGGCTGTGCTCCCGTTGGAGAACCAGGGCACTCTCCTGATCTGCGCCAAGACATCAGAAGGTACTGAAAGCATGGGCGACGAGGACAATGGGGAGTCTGACGTCAGTGTACATGGGATGCATGCGAGACATTTCAAAGGTGAGGTCCGCATATTTAGCATGCTCTTTCTGAATCTTGCTGATCAGATTGCTGTCAAAAGGGACAGAAAAATGAACGATGTAAATAAATGCATTGGTTTGTTGTCTGGAATTCTTCTGAAGCTGTATATGGCCTATTCCAAAGAAGTTTACAACTGTCATTTTCCATGACGCACTGGACATCTTCAGTGTCGTAGCATGGATGAGCCTCAGAATCAAAGCCAAAGGCACAGCGGAGACGGTAGTAAAAGCAACGGGTCATGCCATCATGTTGGTTCAGATATGCTGTTTGTGCCAAGGAAGGCCATCCACCGATAAGGTGCTGGACAGTTTCTTTAAATTCATTGCAAAGTTAACATTTCATGTTAATATTTTCTTTTAGAATCACATTTTGCGAGTGGGAAGTGACTGATCCTGGGCAGCAAAAAGGAAGCCCTCTGTTTCACATTTAAGACCAGCCGACTTCATCCAGTGCAATGTGCAATTGATGCAATGGCTTCTCAGAAAGCTTCTCCACAAACGACCGACTCCTGGTTTATTTCCATCGCTGTACCGTCCAGCAGTACACCGCCATCAACAAAATCAACCTCAAATTTCAGATTCTGTCCAACAACCTTGGTACCAAGTGGGTTTTAGCTTGTGTGACTCCATACGGTCTTTATCAATACAATGTGAAGAGGTTTTGGGTCAGCAACGCTCCAGGAATCTTCCATCGTTTCAATGTCATTACCGGCAACCTTGTTGGTGTTGACACTTACATCAATAAAGCGGAGCGGGATTCACACCTGAGTGGGATCCCTGACTTCCTAGACAGGCTCAAGGTCAAGCTGACTGTACATGTAGCGAACTGTGAATGTGCGCATGCGCATGTGTGTGTTTTTGTCACAGGCCCAAGTTTGGTCCAGACCGTTCAAGCTAAGGAATCTAGTAAAACAATTCCTGGTTCCCAAAATCAAAAGGAATTTATGAGTAAAATTCAGGGAATGACTTTATAGAAACACTTTTTGAGAAGAGATTCCAGTACATTCTTGGTTCGTGGGTTGAGTGCCACCTGGGTGACTGTTTATTATCCAATTATGGTATTTTGCGAGATATCAATTCCTGTTACTGATTTTACCCAGTGGAGATAGGCTGATATACGCGTGAAAACAGTCGGGCGTCCTTGGCAACCATCATCTCCCCAGGAAACGATGCCTGCAACAACCCATCGACCTTTGACCTGACAGGAGAGGGGACTTCCGGAATCGCCCTGAAAGAAAAAAGAGTACAAATGATGTGTGGTGCGTTCGTCAGTGACAGCCTCTGAGCTAAAGGATTCCTGTGGCCGTGGGTAGCCTTGTGGTCAATGTGAACGCTTGTCAGGGGGATTAACTCATACAACGAGTTAGTCCATACTGATTTAAGCAGCACGAGATTTAGGCAGCTATTCGCTGCGAATAATATGGAAAGTGCAGTATCAGACTCTTGGAATCCATGCAGGTTGTGGCTCAACCCCTAACAGTGAACGTTACCCCACCAGCAACCACACAGGTTACACGTAATAACTAAGTTTTCCCAATATTTACAGTTCTGGTTTATGGTTGGACATGTGCAATGGAATCCAAACACTCTTCCGATGACGACGATTGTATTAAAATTCAGTGAGCGGCATAAGCAAACGCCCAAGACGATTACAATGACGCCACGTTGTCAATGTTTATCGCTTGCAAGAAATGAATTTATCTATATCTATGTTGCAACATCGTCGATTTTGGATATGCAATCAATGTTCTTTGATCATCTCCTCATCGTTATCGCCTTGATAATGCACAGGCATTCTATTCGAGACGAGTGTGTGTTCTATCTTAACCCGTGGACGCTGTTTGCTGTTACAGTTCCTGCTTCTTGATAAGGTTTAGCCATCATAAATCAAATCTCGTTCAAAGCAATTCTTATGCCATTCTTCTACAGTACACGGTAGAAGCTGTGCGACTTACCCCACAGGCAGAGTTTGCACCAAGTCCGGCACAGAGGTCGCGGGTCGTCACGTTGTTCCCATAGTAACCATGACAAGCTGAGTTAGTTGCCACGTTAACCCTGACCTCTTGTAGTCTCATGCGGTCTCCAACACCTGAAGGATTGAGGTCCTTAAGTACATACTACCCGGTAGAAACTACCATACTCTTCCCTCTCCCCTGACTCTCACCCCGTATCGACTGCCTCAATTATTGACCACTAGCTAGCTTGAATTACATGCCACCCCGTATCGACTGCCTCAAATATTGACCACTCGAATTACATGCCACCCCGTCTCCCCTGCCTCATAAATTTACCACTTCAAGTACATGCCACCCCGTCTCGCCTGCCCTTAAGTATTGACCACTTGAATTACATGCCACCGCGTCTCGACTGCCTGAAGTATTGACGTCTTGAAGTACATGCCACCCCGTATCGACTGCCTCAAATATTGACCACTCGAATTACATGCCACCCCGTCTCACCTGCCTCAATTATTGACCACTTGAATTACATGCCACCCCGTCTCCCCTGCCTCAAGTATTGACGTCTTGAATTACATGCCACCCCTTCTCCCCTGCCTCAATTTTTTTCTGCTTGAATTACATGCCACCCTGTTTCCCCAATCTCAAGTATTGACAACTTGAATTACATGCCACTCTGCCCATAGACATACCATCCTCGATCACCTAACTGATATATAGACATAGTATCCCGTGTCACCTAACTGATATATAGACATAGTATCCCGTGTCACCTAACTGATATATAGACACAGTATCCCGTGTCACCTAACTGATATATAGACATAGTATCCCGTGTCATCTAACTGATATATAGACATAGTATCCCGTGTCACCTAACTGATATATAGACATAGTATCCCGTGTCACCTAACTGATATATAGACACAGTATCCCGTGTCACCTAACTGATATATAGACATAGTATCCCGTGTCACCTAACTGATATATAGACATAGTATCCGTGTCACCTAACTGATATATAGACACAGTATCCCGTGTAACTGACCTAATCCCTGTCATCTAATATATAGACATAGTATCCCGTGTCATCTAACTGATATATATAGACATAGTATCCCGTGTCACCTAACTGATATATAGACACAGTATCCCGTGTCATCTAACTGATATATAGACATAGTATCCCGTGTCACCTAACTGATATATAGACACAGTATCCCGTGTCACCTAACTGATATATAGACATAGTATCCCGTGTCACCTAACTGATATATAGACACAGTATCCCGTGTCACCTAACTGATATATAGACACAGTATCCCGTGTCACCTAACTGATATATAGACACAGTATCCCGTGTAACCTAACTGATATATAGACACAGTATCCCGTGTCACCTAACTGATATATAGACACAGTATCCCGTGTCACCTAACTGATATATAGACATAGTATCCCGTGTCACCTAACTGATATATAGACACAGTATCTCCCGTGTAACCTAACTGATATATAGACATAGTATCCCGTGTCACCTAACTGATATATAGACACAGTATCCCGTGTAACCTAACTGATATATAGACATAGTATCCCGTGTCACCTAACTGATATATAGACATAGTATCCCGTGTCACCTAACTGATATATAGACATAGTATCCCGTGTCATCTAACTGATATATAGACATAGTATCCCGTGTCACCTAACTGATATATAGACATAGTATCCCGTGTCACCTAACTGATATATAGACATAGTATCCCGTGTCATCTAACTGATATATAGACATAGTATCCCGTGTCACCTAACTGATATATAGACATAGTATCCCGTGTCATCTAACTGATATATAGACATAGTATCCCGTGTCATCTAACTGATATATAGACATAGTATCCCGTGTCATCTAACTGATATATAGACATAGTATCCCGTGTCATCTAACTGATATATAGACATAGTATCCCGTGTCATCTAACTGATATATAGACATAGTATCCCGTGTCATCTAACTGATATATAGACATAGTATCCCGTGTCACCTAACTGATATATAGACATAGTATCCCGTGTCATCTAACTGATATATAGACATAGTATCCCGTGTCATAGACATAGTATCCCGTGTCATCTAACTGATATATAGACATAGTATCCCGTGTCACCTAACTGATATATAGACATAGTATCCCGTGTCATCTAACTGATATATAGACATAGTATCCCGTGTCACCTAACTGATATATAGACATAGTATCCCGTGTCATCTAACTGATATATAGACACAGTATCCCGTGTCATCTAACTGATATATAGACATAGTATCCCGTGTCACCTAACTGATTTATACACATACTATCCTGTATTATCTACGTGATATATGGTCATATTATCCTGTATCAATTTACTGATACTGGTCAAAGGGTGAAATTTCACACGTCTATAGTAGCCTATATTGTTGTGTTTCTGTTTATTTGAGTTGACGTTTTGGAACTAAATAGTATATTTGTATTGTTTTTGCCGCAGCTACGGGAGTCCAATATTCTCAAAATCACCTTTGCGTTTCCTTTTTGAAGAGTGTATACAGAAATGCCATCCTGTTTTCCCTACGTGATGTATAGTCTAACCAGCGGTTATTGAAGTGTGGGCCTTCTAGTCGCCGCCTCCTTGTCCCCATCATTATGTTAACCATAATAACCATCATCATACAGTTACCGTTGGTACTTCCCCATCCGATCGCCCAACATTCCTTGTTTACGAATCCATCCAAGAGATATCCGGCTGGTAAACATGCCGCTGTGACGTCATCATGTTCTGCGTACACTGGGGTCAGGAGTTCCAAAAGAGCAATGTCATGGTTGGGCTTTGTTTGGTCGAATAGAGGGTGCTGCAATAGTAAGGGGAGAAAGTGAAGGAAGACTGTTTTTTATGACAGCACCGAGGCTTAGAGTGTAATTATTGAGAACAGGAAAGTAAATACTTACCTTGATTATGTGTTTGACAAAGTAATCTTTTTCTTTTCCACTGATCTTGTGCCGGTTTGTTTCCCCTACTCGTACCACAGTCGCCCACGGTCCACTGGTTTTAGCTCTGAAACAAACGACGGCCCATTGCCACTGGATTTAGCTCTGGAACAGACAGCCTACAGTCACAGTCTAATATAAGGATGTATCTGACAGGCAGTCTGATGTAAGATTCATACATGGAGGATCTGACACAAGGAAACTGAGGATCTGACACAAGGACATGGTGGACCTGACACAATGGCATGGATGACCTGACACAAGGGCATGGATGACCTGACACAAGGACATGGATGACCTGACACAAGGACATGGATGACCTGATACAAGGGCATGGATGACCTGACACAAGGACATGGATGACCTGACACAAGGGCATGGGGGATCTGACACAAGGGCATGGAGGATCTGACACAAGGGCATGGAGGATCTGACACAAGGATATGAAGGATCTGACACAAGGACATGGATCACCTGACACAAGGGCATGGATGACCTGACACAATGGCATGGAGGACCTGACACAGGCCATGGAGGATCTGACACAAGGATATGAAGGATCTGACACAAGGACACTGAGGATCTGACACAAGGACATGGAGGACCTGACACAAGGGCATGGAGGACCTGACACAAGGACATGGAGGACCTGACACAAGGACATGAAGGATCTAACACAAGGGCATGGAGGATCTGACATAAGGACATGGAGGATCTGACACAAGGATGGAGAGGATCTCACTCGAGGACACAGATGATCTTATACAAGGACAATAAAAATCTTATACATGGACACTGAAGATCTCACTGAAAGACACAGATGATCTCACACAAGGACACTGAGGATCTGACACAATGACATGGATGATCTGACACAAGGACATGGGGGATCTGACACAAGGACATTGAGGATCTGACACATGGACACTGATGATCTGCCGCACAGCGCAGATGTGACACAAGGACACCGAAGATGTGACACAAGGGCACTATGATCTGACACAAGCACTGAGAGGATCTGAAAGAAGTTCAGAAAAGATCTGACAAAAGGAAAGAGAGGAACTGAAACAAGTACAGAGAGGATCTGACACAAGGACACTGAGAATTCTCACTCAAGGACACAGATCTGCTTCAAAATGCTAAATATTTCCTACACGTTAGTAAATTCTGAGAAAGATCCATTTTTAATCCTCTGATCCTTTTGATACAAACATGTATACTAACAACCTGATACAGCGTCATGAACGATCTGATGCAAGGGTACAAACAATCTGATAACAGGGTACTAACGAGCTGATACTAGAATACACACGATCTAAAACTAGGACACACAAGATCAGATAAAAGGTTACTAACGATCTGATGCAAAGATACTAAGGATCTGATACAAAAGTACCAAAGGCCTGCTACAAGGATACCCACGACCTGCTACAAGGATACCCACGATCTGATACAGGGATGCCCACGACCTGATACAAGGATACCGACGACCTGATACAGGGATACCCACGATCTGATACAGGGATGCCCACGACCTGATACAAGGATACCCACGACCTGAAACAGGGCTGCCCACGACCTGATACAGGGATGCCCACGACCTGATACAGGGATGCCCACGACCTGATACAGGGCTGCCCACGACCTGATACAGGGCTGCCCACGACCTGATACAGGGCTGCCCACGGCCTGATACAAGGATACCCACGACCTGATACAGGGATGCCCACGACCTGATACAAGGATACCCACGACCTGATACAAGGATACCCATGACCTGATACAGGGCTGCCCACGGCCTGATACAGGGCTGCCCACGACCTGATACAGGGCTGCCCACGACCTGATACAGGGCTGCCCACGACCTGATACAGGGCTGCCCACGGCCCACTGATACAAGGATACCCCGACCTGATACTGATACAGGGATGCCCACGACCTGATACAGGGGACCCTGACCTGAAACACGACCTGATACAGGGGCTGCCCACGACCTGAGGGATACCCACGACCTGATACAGGGCTGCCCACGACCTGATACAGGGCTGCCCACGACCTGATACAAGGATACCCACGACCTGATACAGGGATACCCACGGCCTGATACAGGGCTGCCCACGACCTTCTGATACAAACATGTTCCATGAATACTAACAACCTGATGCAGCGTCATGAACGATCTGATGCAAGGGTACAAACAATCTGATAACAGGGTACTAACGAGCTGATACTAGAATACACACGATCTAAAACTAGGACACACAAGATCTAATAAAAGGTTACTAACGATCTGATGCAAAGATACTAAGGATCTGATACAAAAGTACCAAAGGCCTGCTACAAGGATATCCACGACCTGCTACAAGGATACCCACGACCTGATACAGGGATGGCCTGATACAGGACCTGATACAGGGATGCCCACGACCTGATACAAGGATACCCACGACCTGATACAGGGATACCCACGACCTGATACAGGGATACCCACGGCCTGATACAGGGATGCCCACGACCTGATACAGGGATACCCACGACCTGATACAGGGATGCCCACGACCTGATACAGGGCTGCCCACGACCTGATACAGGGCTGCCCACGGCCTGATACAGGGATGCCCACGACCTGATACAGGGATACCCACGACCTGATACAGGGATACCCACGGCCTGATACAGGGCTGCCCACGACCTTCTGATACAAACATGTTCCATGAATACTAACAACCTGATGCAGCGTCATGAACGATCTGATGCAAGGGTACAAACAATCTGATAACAGGGTACTAACGAGCTGATACTAGAATACACACGATCTAAAACTAGGACACACAAGATCTAATAAAAGGTTACTAACGATCTGATGCAAAGATACTAAGGATCTGATACAAAAGTACCAAAGGCCTGCTACAAGGATATCCACGACCTGCTACAAGGATACCCACGACCTGATACAGGGATGCCCACGACCTGATACAGGGATGCCCACGACCTGATACAGGGATGCCCACGACCTGATACAGGGATACCCACGGCCTGATACAGGGATGCCCACGACCTGATACAGGGATACCCACGACCTGATACAGGGATGACCACGACCTGATACAGGGCTGCCCACGACCTGATACAGGGCTGCCCACGGCCTGATACAAGGATACCCACGACCTGATACAGGTATGCCCGAGACCTGATACAAGGATACCCACGACCTGATACAGGGATGCCCACGACCTGATACAAGGATACCCACGACCTGATACAAGGATACCCACGACCTGATACAGGGATGACCACGACCTGATACAAGGATACCCACGACCTGATACAAGGACACCCACGACCTGATACAGGGATGACCACGACCTGATACAAGGATACCCACGACCTGATACAGGGATACCCACGACCTGATACAAGGATACCCACGACCTGATACAAGGATACCAACGACCTAATACAGAGGTGACCACGACCTGACACCGGGATGCCCACGACCTGATACAGGGATGCCCACGACCTGATACAGGGCTGCCCACGGCCTCATACAAGGATACCCACGACCTGATACAGGGATGAACACGACCTGATACAAGGATACCCACGACCTGATACAAGGACACCCACGACCTGATACAGGGATGACCACGACCTGATACAAGGATACCCACGACCTGATACAGGGATACCCACGACCTGATACAAGGATACCCACGACCTGATACAAGGATACCAACGACCTAATACAGAGGTGACCACGACCTGACACCGGGATGCCCGTGACCTGATACAGGGATGCCCACGACCTGATACAGGGCTGCCCACGACCTGATACAGGGCTGCCCACGACCTGATACAGGGCTGCCCACGGCCTGATACAAGGATACCCACGACCTGATACAGGTATGCCCACGACCTGATACAAGGATACCCACGACCTGATACAGGGATGACCACGACCTGATACAAGGATACCCACGACCTGATACAAGGATACCCACGACCTGATACAGGGATGACCACGACCTGATACAAGGATACCCACGACCTGATACAAGGACACCCACGACCTGATACAGGGATGACCACGACCTGATACAAGGATACCCACGACCTGATACAGGGATACCCACGACCTGATACAAGGATACCCACGACCTGATACAAGGATACCAACGACCTAATACAGAGGTGACCACGACCTGACACCGGGATGCCCACGACCTGATACAGGGATGCCCACGACCTGATACAGGGCTGCCCACGGCCTCATACAAGGATACCCACGACCTGATACAGGGATGACCACGACCTGATACAAGGATACCCACGACCTGATACAAGGACACCCACGACCTGATACAGGGATGACCACGACCTGATACAAGGATACCCACGACCTGATACAGGGATACCCACGACCTGATACAAGGATACCCACGACCTGATACAAGGATACCAACGACCTAATACAGAGGTGACCACGACCTGACACCGGGATGCCCGTGACCTGATACAGGGATGCCCACGACCTGATACAGGGCTGCCCACGACCTGATACAGGGCTGCCCACGACCTGATACAGGGCTGCCATCGGCCTGATACAAGGATACCCACGACCTGATACAGGTATGCCCACGACCTGATACAGGGATGCCCACGACCTGATACAGGGATGCCCACAGCCAGATACAAGGATATCCACGACCTGATACAAGGATACCCACGACCTGATACAGGGATGACCACGACCTGATACAAGGATACCCACGACCTGATACAAGGATACCCACGACCTGATACAGGGATGACATCGACCTGATACAAGGATACCCACGACCTGATACAAGGACACCCACGACCTGATACAGGGATGACCACGACCTGATACAAGGATACCCACGACCTGATACAGGGATACCCACGACCTGATACAAGGATACCCACGACCTGATACAAGGATACCAACGACCTAATACAGAGGTGACCACGACCTGACACCGGGATGCCCACGACCTGATACAAGGATGCCCACGACCTGATACAGGGATGCCCACGACCTGATACAGGGATGCCCACGACCTGATACAGGGATACCCACGACCTGATACAGGGATACCCACGACCTGATACAAGGATACCACGACCTGATACAAGGATACCAACGACCTAATACAGAGGTGACAAACGACCTGACACCGGGATGCCCGTACGACCTGATACAGGGATACCACGACCTGATACAGGGATGACCACGACCTGATACAGGGCTGCCCACGACCTGATACAGGGCTGCCCACGGCCTGATACAAGGATACCCACGACCTGATACAGGTATGCCCACTGACCAGATACAAGGATACCCACGACCTGATACAGGGATGACCACGACCTGATACAAGGATACCCACGACCTGATACAAGGATACCCACGACCTGATACAGGGATGACCACGACCTGATACAAGGATACCCGAGATAAAGGACCTGATACAAGGATACCCACGACCTGATACAGGGATGACCACGACCTAAAGGATACAAGGATACCAACGACCTGATACAGGGATACCCACGACCTGATACAAGGATACACACGACCTGATACTAAAGTTCTGATACAACGATACACACGAGATAGAGGTGACCACGACCTGATACCAGGATACCTAACGTTCTGATACAGGGATGCCCACGACCTGATACAGGGTACACGGCCTCATACAAGGATACCAACGACCTGATACAGGGATGAACACGACCTGATACAAGGATACCCACGACCTGATACAAGGACACCCACGACCTGATACAGGGATGACCACGACCTGATACAAGGATACCCACGACCTGATACAGGGATACCAACGACCTGATACAAGGATACCCACGACCTGATACAAGGATACCAACGACCTAATACAGAGGTGACCACGACCTGACACCGGGATGCCCGTGACCTGATACAGGGCTGCCCACGGCCTGATACAGGGCTGCCCACGACCTGATACAGGGATGACCATGACCTGATACAAGGAACTTTCTGATACCGAGATACACATGATCTTGTATAAACGTACACACAATACTAGGATAATAACGTTTAGATACAGAGATACACACGAGATAAAGGTACACACAATACCAGGGTACTAACGTTCTGATACAGAGATACACACGAGATAAAGGTACACACAATACAAGGGTACTAACGTTCTGATACAGAGATACACACGATCTTGGATAAAGGTACACACAATACCAGGATACTAACGTTCTGATACAGAGATACACACGAGATAAAGGTACACACAATACCAGGATACTAACGTTCTGATACAGAGGATACACACGAGATAAAGGTACACACACAATACCAGGGTACTAACGTTCTGATACAGAGATACACACGAGATAAAGGTACACACAATTACAAGGGTACTAACGTTCTGATACAGAGATACACACGAGATAAAGGTACACACAATACAAGGGTACTAACGTTCTGATACAGAGATACACACGAGATAAAGGTACACACAATACAAGGATACTAACGTTCTGATACAGAGATACACACGAGATAAAGGTACACACAATACCAGGTACTAACGTTCTGATACAGAGATACACACGAGATAAAGGTACACACAATACCAGGGTACTAACGTTCTGATACAGAGATACACACGAGATAAAGGTACACACAATACCAGGGTACTAACGTTCTGATACAGAGATACACACGAGATAAAGGTACACACAATACAAGGATACTAACGTTCTGATACAGAGATACACACGAGATAAAGGTACACACAATACCAGGGTACTAACGTTCTGATACAGAGATACACACGAGATAAAGGTACACACAATACCAGGATACTAACGTTCTGATACAGAGATACACACGAGATAAAGGTACACACAATACCAGGGTACTAACGTTCTGATACAGAGAAACACACGAGATAAAGGTACACACAATACCAGGATACTAACGTTCTGATACAGAGATACACACGAGATAAAGGTACACACAATACCAGGGTACTAACGTTCTGATACAGAGATACACACGAGATAAAGGTACACACAATACCAGGATACTAACGTTCTGATACAGAGATACACACGAGATAAAGGTACACACAATACCAGGATACTAACGTTCTGATACAGAGATACACACGAGATAAAGGTACACACAATACCAGGATACTAACGTTCTGATACAGAGATACACACGAGATAAAGGTACACACAATACCAGGGTACTAACGTTCTGATACAGAGATACACACGAGATAAAGGTACACACAATACCAGGGTACTAACGTTCTGATACAGAGACACACGAGATAAAGGTACACACAATACCAGGGTACTAACGTTCTGATACAGAGATACACACGAGATAAAGGTACACACAATACCAGGGTACTAACGTTCTGATACAGAGATACACACGAGATAAAGGTACACACAATACCAGGGTACTAACGTTCTGATACAGAGATACACACGAGATAAAGGTACACACAATACCAGGATACTAACGTTCTGATACAGAGATACACACGAGATAAAGGTACACACACGAGATAGGTACACACAATACCAGGATACTAACGTTCTGATACAGAGATACACACGAGATAAAGGTACACACAATACCAGGATACTAACGTTCTGATACAGAGATACACACGAGATAAAGGTACACACAATACCAGGATACTAACGTTCTGATACAGAGATACACACGAGATAAAGGTACACACAATACCAGGGTACTAACGTTCTGATACAGAGATACACACGAGATAAAGGTACACACAATACCAGGGTACTAACGTTCTGATACAGAGATACACACGAGATAAAGGTACACACAATACCAGGATACTAACGTTCTGATACAGAGATACACACGAGATAAAGGTACACACAATACCAGGGTACTAACGTTCTGATACAGAGATACACACGAGATAAAGGTACACACAATACCAGGATACTAACGTTCTGATACAGAGATACACACGAGATAAAGGTACACACAATACTAAAGGATACTAACGTTCTGATACAGAGATACACACGAGATAAAGGTACACACAATACCAGGGTACTAACGTTCTGATACAGAGATACACACGAGATAAAGGTACACACAATACCAGGATACTAACGTTCTGATACAGAGATACACACGAGATAAAGGTACACACAATACCAGGATACTAACGTTCTGATACAGAGATACACACGAGATAAAGGTACACACAATACCAGGATACTAACGTTCTGATACAGAGATACACACGAGATAAAGGTACACACAATACCAGGATACTAACGTTCTGATACAGAGATACACACGAGATAAAGGTACACACAATACCAGGGTACTAACGTTCTGATACAGAGATACACACGAGATATAAAGGTACACACAATACCAGGGTACTAACGTTCTGATACAGAGAGGTAACACACGAGATAAAGGTACACACAATACCAGGATACTAACGTTCTGATACAGAGATACACACGAGATAAAGGTACACACAATACCAGGATACTAACGTTCTGATACAGAGATACACACGAGATAAAGGTACACACAATACCAGGATACTAACGTTCTGATACAGAGATACACACGAGATAAAGGTACACACAATACCAGGGTACTAACGTTCTGATACAGAGATACACACGAGATAAAGGTACACACAATACCAGATACTAACGTTCTACTAACGTTCTGATACAGAGTACACACAATACCAGGGTACTAACGTTCTGATACAGAGATACACACGAGATAAAGGTACATAATACATAATACCAGGATACTAACGTTCTGATACACACGAGATAAAGGTACACACAATACCAGGATACTAACGTTCTGATACAGAGATACACACGAGATAAAGGTACACACAATACCAGGGTACTAACGTTCTGATACAGAGAAACACACGAGATAAAGGTACACACAATACCAGGGTACTAACGTTCTGATACAGAGAAACACACGAGATAAAGGTACACACAATACCAGGATACTAACGTTCTGATACAGAGATACACACGAGATAAAGGTACACACAGTACCAGGGTACTAACGTTCGGACGCAGTGGCCTGCTGTCACAGCCCATGTGGGGGAGATTAGAACAGCGCCACACCCATGGTTGCCTTGGTACATGACCTCCGCCATCCACGGCCAAGTCCCGAGGTCGGCAGCATGGCCTCCAACAATACGGCGTGAGCGAGGTCTGTGACCACATGTATCTTTAGCAAAACAAATTATCCTTGACTTGAAACAGAAGGATCCTTTCATAAGACATCCGGAAATATGTGAATAAATCGATTCCACATCACTTCCTATTCAGATAAACCTACTGGCGTTTTTTACAATTTAAAAGTTTCACATTCACACTCAGTAGGTTAATATCTGCGATAATCGGTTTGCCTGTGGTGTGGACATTTTGTTATTTTGAGCCCAGTGATTATATACACTTGAGCACTACTCACTTTACACTGTGGAAAGTACGAAAACACTACATGTTGTATATGTTGGATGACATAGGTATCATCGGCCATAGGTGACGAGCAGAAGACAGACAAGTGAACGTTGCAACTTCTCGCCTACACAACGTACCCTCACACCAGCCTCCTTCTGAAAGTATCGTATTTCCCTGCATTTACAGAACTCAGCTGTAAGGAGCAAGTTGACTCCTAATGATGGCGAATAGTTTCCTTGCCTTTACAGAACGCTGTAAGGAGCGAGTTGACTGTGGGTTTTCAAAGAATACAGCTTTAAAGGGCCAGTATACTGTGGGTGATAGTGAGTGGCATACCTGTATTTACAGACTGTGGCCTGTCATTTATATTGGTGATGGTGCAACCATAGTTCATGAAGTAAAATATATTCATTTTTCCGCACAACGCTATGTGATTTATCGAACGGTATGGTCTTCTCCCATTGACGTCACCTCCGCAAACCTCGGTTTGATCTACGTCCGGTTCCCATGATCCTCTGTCGCCTGCGACTATGTAGGTCTGGAAATAACGACGGGGTTTCAGTCAGTTTCTTGTTCTCAGCACCCAGGAAGCGGATAACAGTAGATTTAGTCCTTGTTGTGCTCTACGCTTTCGTTAGAAATATGTTTGTGAAACACTGACTCGTATCATCCAGCGAACCCCTATCTGATATCTCAGCGAATAAGTTAATTCCGACGTTTCATGCTAGACGAGCATTTCAAATGGCGGTGCTTAGATTCACTGGCGAATTAGTATTCTCTTTTAAGAGTTTAATTTGTTGTATAATCAATCTGTTTTAATTGACCATTATTGATCGAATTTAAAACTTTCTAACCTTAAACTCAAACCAGCCGTTGTATGTTTGCGAACAATCGATGTCGATGTCCACCATCCAGAAGTTGCTCCCCAGCTTGTTAGTCGAAGTGTAACCGAAGCCGTCATTGTCTACACTAGGTCCGCCCTGAACGTGTCTAAAACATAGCCGTCATTATAAACACTTGGTTCCCCCTGAAAGTGTCTAAAACATAGTCGTCATTATAAACACTTGGTTCGCCCTGAAAGTGTCTAAAACATAGTCGTCATTATAAACACTTGGTTCGCCCTGAACGTGTCTAAAACATAGTCGTCATTATAAACACTTGGTTCGCCCTGAACGTGTCTAAAACATAGTCGTCATTACAAACACTTGGTTCGCCCTGAACGTGTCTAAAACATAGTCGTCATTATAAACACTTGGTTCGCCCTGAACGTGTCTAAAACATAGTCGTCATTATAAACACTTGGTTCGCCCTGAACGTGTCTAAAACATAGTCGTCATTATAAACACTTGGTTCGCCCTGAACGTGTCTAAAACATAGTCGTCATTATAAACACTTGGTTCGCCCTGAACGTGTCTAAAACATAGCCTGCTTATGGACATTCGGTCCGCCTCCAACGTATCTGAAACATAGCCCTCATCTTGTACATTTAAAAAATAGCCGTCATTGTGTACACTGGGTCCGCCCTGAACGTATCTAAAACATATCACTGCAAGTAGGTCACGTGGTCGCAACTCCAGGTAGGGAGGTTTATAGAACAATATCTCAGTAGGTCACGTGGTCTCAACTCCAGGTAGGAAGGTTTATAGAACAATATCTCAGTAGGTCACGTGGTCTCAACTTCAGGTAGGGAGGTATATAGAACAATATCTCAGTAGAAGAAGAAGAATGAGGACTATTTTTAAGCAAGTAGCTGACAACGACATTAGAATCTATGTCGAAACGTCGCCTATACCGAATAAAGAAGTTGTATATCCATAAAAATAGTCCTCATTCTTCATCTACCCAAATTCTAGAATGCCAATCAAAGAAGAAATATCTCTGTAGGTCACGTGGTTTCAACTTCAGGTAGGGAGGCATATAGAACAATATCTCAGTAGGTCACATGGTCTCAACTTCAGGAAGGGAGGTATATAGAACAATATCTCAGTAGGTCACGTGGTCTCAACTTCAGGAAGGGAGGCATATAGAACAATATCTCAGTAGGTCACGTGGTCTCAACTTCAGGAAGGGAGGCATATAGAACAATATCTCAGTAGGTCACGTGGTCTCAACTTCAGGAAGGGAGGCATATAGAACAATATCTCAGTAGGTCACATGGTCTCAACTTCAGGAAGGGAGGTATATAGAACAATATCTCAGTAGATCACATGGTCTCAACTTCAGGAAGGGAGGTATATAGAACAATATTTCAGTAGGTAACGTGGTCTCAACTTCAGGAAGGGAGGTATATAGAACAATATCTCAGTAGGTCGAGTGGTCTCAACTTCAGGAAGGGAGGTATATAGAACAATATCTCAGTAGGTCGAGTGGTCTCAACTTCAGGTAGGGAGGTATATAGAACAATATCTCAGTAGGTCACATGGTCTCAACTTCAGGAAGGGACGTATATAGAACAATATCTCAGTAGGTCACGTGGTCTCAACTTCAGGAAGGGAGGTATATAGAACAATATCTCAGTAGGTCACGTGGTCTCAACTTCAGGAAGGGAGCTATATAGAACAATATCTCAGTAGGTCACATGGTCTCAACTTCAGGAAGGGAGCTATATAGAACAATATCTCAGTAGGTCACATGGTCTCAACTTCAGGAAGGGAGCTATATAGAACAATATCTCAGTAGGTCACATGGTCTCAAGTTCAGGAAGGGAGGTATATAGAACAATATCTCAGTAGGTCACGTGGTCTCAACTTCAGGTTTTAGTGAAAGTAGCTGACTATGTCACGTGATGTCATCTTGTATTAGGAAGTTGTATTTGAGCTGTGTCAGTTTGAAATAGTAAGATACAGTTACGTTTCAATGACGTCAAGAAGTCAGGTACGACAAACACAGGCAGGCAGTTAGATCTTTACTGTTGCCCTGTTCATGGAGTAGACAAACCAATCACCCCATCCATTCTGCAAACTCAGAAACCCCGATTACTTATTCGTGGTCCATATCATTGGCGTTCCCTGGGGCTTGTGGCCGTGGAAAGAGTGCTGGCCTGTCTCAAATCCATTCCAGTCGAGGTACCGGTCTCCTAACGACCACGAGTAGTCGGCCCCAGCATCTGCGCGCTTTGGTACAATCCGATGTTTGATGGGTATGTGACATGCGTCGGCAGAGCAGTTGCCCCTTCCTAGTGGGTAGACAAGAAATATCACGTTACATCGTACATGTTGACATTTCCCCGTTGTGTAATAAAGAATCACCCCATAAATATAACAAACATTGTAGTTAGGACAGTAGGTGGGGTCGTAAAGGCCAGTTTGATAAACGCTGTACGTGCACAAGGTGGCTGTTGGCTTGTGGACTTTGTATAATCACTGTGACATATATACACGTGCTTCCAACATTCATGTGGCAAAGCTCGATTAACGCAATAACACACAATATTCTATGACTTAGTTTTTATGTGTTCTAGCAAAAGTCAACACACTAGACTACGAATCTTTGATTGACTGAAGCAAGTATGGCGACGGATATAGGATGTCATGCTTAGTTGACACTGAACGGGTTAGGCGCTTCTTGTTAGGTTACCTCCTCGCATGAACACAGTTTCCCCGATGTTTGTGTTGACGCGGATGAACACAATGGTGCGCTGGAAGAGAGACTGATGCGTCACGTGGGCCCCGAGAAAAATCAGTAAAGTTCGGAGAGCCCATGACACGATTTCTGCCATTGTAGTGTTAAGGTTCAGTGGCACTCCTGCATGGGGCCGGCCAGCGTTATCTGGTGGTACACAGCTGTCCTCTCCCACGTCAGGTGTGTACACATGGTATAGCGCACCCTTCACACGTGATCAGGAGGAATTCAGTCTCATTGTAATAGTAACAATAGCAATAATAATTATAATAATATACTACTAAAAAAAAGAAGAAATACATAAGTGAAAATGGTCATATATTTATGCATGTAAGTCTGAATGATACAGGACGGTGATAAAGAAAACACTGGTGAACATGTATTGTTCATTAATGTCCAGTGGAAGTAGAGGTTGGACGTAACAAATGACATGTACAGAAAGGTCACAGAGCAGTCAGTATCTTGTGTGACCACTATAAGCATCAATGGTTGCCTGGCATCGGCGTCCGATAGATTGGCTCATATTCCGGGAGAACTGTCTAAGAATGTTTTGATATTCTACCCACATAGCCGGAAACAAATCAGCAGCTAAGGTCTGAGGTTGAGGATCCACGTCATCCACGTCAATCCAGCTCGTGCCACAAATATTCAGTTGGTTTCCGATCTGATGATCGGGAGGGCCATTCGACAACCTTATAAGCCCAGGGCCCTTATTCTCGAAACGTTCGTAGCCCTAAGAATTTGTAACTTCGACCGTAGCCAATGTGTTAAGAATGGGCTTAAGAAGTTCGTAGGGCTACGAACGTTTCGAGAATAGCTAGCCTGAACGTAGTGCTGAACAAGAATCTGTGTAGATGAACAGAAATAGAATACTAAGTCAATCCTTATCATTAAATTGGACAACGAAACAAAATATAATATCTACAATGGTGTCAGTTAAAACAGACAGCAATTGCGAGATTTATAAACATTCCAAGGAAAACATACTGTGGCGTTTCGTGAATCAAGTGACTAGTCAGTTTGTGATCATGAGTTCACACGCCCACAAAGTAACGACAGTATGACAACGGAGAGTAGCAAGAAAACAAGGTTCACAGAACGACCAGGACGAAGGTGGCTCTTTCAAATGAGATGACCAGTAACTATAAATTCAAGTACAGGTTTCCTAAGAAAGGGTAGACACTGCTGAAAAAGGGCTACTTAGGAACAGACCCACCCACGCCCCCAACCCCACCCCCTGTTGCGCTTCAGTTTGCCTGTTTTTCATTCCTGGTTTCGTATCGAAACGTGGTTTGTGCGGTCCCGAACATACATGAATATCGCTAAAACGTCCTCTGCACGAATGACCGGTAAAAAGAGAATTCCTTCCACTAAATGGGATTCCCCGACAATCCGTAGTGGTCCACTTTGATTGGTGTGCTTTACGTTTTTACAGTATTTGGGAAAGGAACGTAATATCACGTGACCAGGTCAGTCAACCAGAATGCAGGAATTACAATGAACACAACAACAGTTTCCTCATAGAAGTGAATATCATAGTAGAAAATATTCAAGCAGTTAAAATTTGAATAATGATATGTGGCAGCAATTGAAACGCGCTTCCATCCTACGTTCTCGGGTGATACATCGCTGGGGATGCAGTGGGATGCTGTAGTAGCATGGCATTTGGGGTTCTTCAACAATGAACACCTCGAGGGTACAGGGTTTTAGCTGACGGTATATTTATTGTTGTGGGACAAATACACCAGGGTACAATGTCCTCCACACAACCCTGAACCAATTGGTCAACAATGCGAGAATTACCACCGCGCAGCACTGGATCTACCTACGACTTAAAATAACACAGATATCCGACGTTGTAAATTCAAGTAGAATACTTTGGCGGATTGAAAAGTGGACATGGTTGAATACTGTCCGCAATTGAGCGTATCAGAAAAAAGCACAGTGCGACGATTTTTGTATTTGGCATCTCTCGGGAAACTGTGAGTAAATATAAGGTTACCCAATACCTGAACGACAAAACAATACGTCAAGTGGATTTGTTTGCTTATGTATAACGTTATCCATGTAATGTATAAAACAGCTTGCCATAAATGACCTCTCTTGAGTGACGATATGGCGACTTGACTCTGCTATGCTCAATACCGGGTCATTTAACTCACTTGGAATGGATCTGCTGTTTATGACGACTCTGTGTATCATGATGCTAGTCCAGATACACACTGTAACCGGATACATTTTGGTTTTGTCACAAATTATGAGAAATTATGATATCGCACATCGTGAGAAAGCGCATACCAGCTAAATGGATGTAATATGTGAATTAGTTCTTAGATACCCGTGCTCTCTTGATTATATAGATGTATTTGGACTAATTATCAACAAAGTACCAGCCATATCTTCCAATGTAACGAAAGTGAGTGAGTGAGTATACTTTAATGCCGCTTTTAGCAATATTCCAGCAATATCACGCCAGGGGGACACTAGAAATGGGCTTCACACATTATACCCATGTGGGGATCGAACCCGGATCTTCGGCGTGACGAGCGAACGCTTTAACCACTAGGCTACCCCACCGCCCCTATGTAACGAAAGTACAAAATGACACCACTTCAGCTGACGTCATCATTGTGTGTTTTGCAACGTTGGGAAAAGACGACATTGGTATGTTTAGTAGTACCAACCTCGGTTTGTCAGTCAGACAGCACTTTGACAGAACAGGACAAGACTGGTTTTGCTATCTAATCAATGTGCTCAATAAAAAAGAAATTAGATAGTTGTACTGTTTACATACATACCTGAAGTCATTGAAAGGCATGTAGAAGTTGGACTAACTGGAATACATCAAATGTTTTATGGATGACACCTTCTTTCTATTCTTTATGCGATGTTTCAGTTAATTCATGCTCCTTCATCAGGTGAATGCTAAGTCAGTGCACCGAATGCAGACAGACAGAACATGTCTGCACAACGCAGGTGCAAATTAAACAATATAATCACGATTAGTTAGATTAAGTAGATAGGACAAAGATAACAATTATATATTACTTACGATGGTCCTGAATTACAGGAACCCGCGGGGCATTGACAATGCGCTGATTGTTCATCAATAACATAGCTAAACTAAACACACTCGACCAGCGTATGGCTTATGAGAAACAGGATGACTTTAGTAAACGTCAGATTGTGTAACTTAAAAAGATCATCCCAATTAGAGGGGCTTCCACTAATACAGATGCACTTCGATCACAAATCAACCGAACTCGAGCAACTATTGATCAAGTAATGAGTGATGACTGTACACTGGCCGAAAGAACTGGAATATTGTTCAGAGAGCAGGAGATAATCAACATTAGTATTTGGGACTTATCATATCAACTTTGGTTCTCTCTGTGACGGATGTGGAACCGCTCCAACAACGCCTACGCCGCTCAAGGATGGGGGTAATGAGGGGTAAAAATGCTATTGAAATGCGGTGTAATAGGAAGTAGACCGCTAGTTGGCTTAGCCAAAACCCATTGGCGGTGGTTGTCGCAATTGCTGGGCTGTTGTCCGTAGCTTCTAAGGACATGTTCTCCAAATCAGGAGTAGGCATATCACCCCCTCAATACCACCACCAAACGTTGTTTTTAGTTTCCTGGTCGATATGTCGTTGATCTTGATTTCAAATATGTGTCACAAGACAAGTATTACATCTTGGTATCGCCTGAAGGCCGAAGGTAAATCTCCCGGTTATGAAACAGTTTCGACGTTTGCGACAAGCTGTGTTTGTGCATCATACGCCGTACCTTTACCAATGATGCCAGTAGTTAGGGGTGAAACAGTCCTCTCTTTCCACAGTATGGTACGTTCTGCGGTACAAGGCCTTCGGTTCGGTCCGTTTCGGTTTCGGCATATAAGATATGATCATAATGCAGAAAATTGACAACAAGAGCCAAACCTTACATTGTTTAATAACATGGACAACAAGAGCCAAACCTTACATTGTTTAATAACATGGACAACAAGAGCCAAACCTTACATTGTTCAATAACATGGACAACAAGAGCCAAACCTTACATTGTTTAATAACATGGACAACAAGAGCCAAACCTTACATTGTTTAATAACATGGACAACAAGAGCCAAACCTTACATTGTTTAATAACATGGACAAAACATTATCCACAATCTTTGTTATTTTGAATGAATAAAACTGTCATTTATATCTAGATAGAGGAACTAAAGTATCACTGTAACCTGAGATCTCACCTGTGTGGCCAGGTATAAAGTCACTAACATCACATCAACATTTACTGCAGTGAAATCACCACGTAACACGAATGTTCATGTTTTTAAAAAAATACACAAACCAGATCTTGTAGAATGTGACTCTTTTGATAACATATCACAGATAAATAAATGAAACAAATTAACAAAACAGGAGTTATCCTAAGACAGCTACAGTCTGTGTGACTGATCACTGTTATTGTTCTAAATCATTTGTCTCTCGTTCGGTCGGATAAACATTTAGAGACTTTCCACAGTCCTTGGGAAGTACTGCTACGCACATTCCAGAATTTTGTTTTATTCAGTTTTCAGATTCATTCAACATATCTTTCAAAGTTCACTCAGAAATGTAATTCCCCTTTCGAAACAAAAACGGACAAAATTGGACTGATCCGGACTGCTTCAAAATCCGGACCAATGAGTCGGTCCCAGGCCAGTTCGTAATAGACAGATTCCACTGTATGTACCGTAGGCACTTTGGCGGGATATGGGTTTTATCAGGGGATATAGACATGAATGTATATTCTCTGAGTTCAGTTAAAGTTGTGTTGTCTCAGTCTAAATCACAGTGCTGTCAATTTAATGGAATAACAGCAGGTAAGTATCATGACCATCAGCACAGCCTTGTACAGGTCAGCTGCGTGTAATTAACCTTAGAGTATATGGCCGGTCGGACACGGAGGTTTAACATTGTGGATGAGGTGCTGGATACAGCAGGCTGACCATACACGTATCATAATACGATACAGGGCTGCCTGACAGTCAGTAGTATTTATACATTGAATTCTTGTTTTAAGAGGACTTGACCCTCGGACAGCGGCTAGGCAGGTGGGCTGACGATCGCCTCTGTGATGCTGCCTGGCCGTTGCTGCACTATCATGTAATTGCATATTTAGAC